ATTTAGTGTTAGTGGAAGTAGGTTTGAAGACTTGTTCTGGTTGTGTTGTTTTTTTTTTTTTTTTTTGCTTTCAGGTGGTAGGTTGAAATATATATCCAAATACAGGAACAAGCTTTGTGAACACAACTGAGCATCTGATTGGCGGAGAAAGTAATATGATGACATTGCCTCATGTTTCAATCTTCTTGCTCAAAAGGCCTATGACAGCAGTTTTACTAGCCGGTGGTTATAGCATCTGGCTAGTGTTTACAAAAGGTCACTGACCACTATCATAGGATAGTAATCATACTGTTCATCTCTATACAGTGTTAATTTATGTCTATATCAAAATACAAAATACTTTTTAAATTGACACTTAGGAATTTGTTTTTAAAATAAGTCCAAATGTTGAGAGAACATGTTTTTATCCAGACTTGTCTGTCTTGCATTCTAATTTAAACAGAATAATTCATAGATGGAATTTCTTCAATTAATAAATAGCGTTACTCTTTCCTATTTATTTTCTGCGTTAGTGTTGTTCCAGTCCTGCAGGGCTCATACATTTGCAGATCTCACTCAACCAGATTAAAGATGCAGTATCTCCTTTCACAAAAATGTAACTTGCCATTCCAGCACTTTTGGTTCTCACGTGCTACAGTTCAGAGGTTTGTCCTGTTTTAACAGATCTTAGTTTGAAAGGTGACCTGTTTCCATGCAGTTTTCCATTTCTGAATGTATATTTTAGGAAAAGAATTCTGTGTTGCAGGCATCTTTCTTTTCAAACTCTGCTTGCAATGCCAAAAGCCATGAACTTGCTTGGGTTTTAATTGAATGATCACCTGCAAAATGAAACAAGAATCCATACAAAAATATTTAGGTTTGTGTCCTGTTTTTGCTTGCTTGCTTGTCTAAAACACACTTGAAATGATTGCCCTCTTCCAAATAAGGAATTTTCCCCTACTTGTTCTGTACCTTAGAAATATCAGGAATGTCAAGTCATGTCTTCCCTTCTCTTTATTGGAAGACTTGCTGGAGGTCTCAGATGTGTATTGTGAGTTTTGTCAGCCTGCCAACTAAAGGAGTACAAAGGGCTGAATCTCGCACACAGATCTTTTCTTCCAACTGTTTATGCTATAATTGAGTTACACAGGTGATAACAAAATTTTTAAATAGTTGGACTAAAAATCATTTCCCTTTCCAATCAAGTTTCACTTGCTTGGTATCTGCAGTGTAATAAACAAGTCCTCCATTAGTCTATATTTTCTGCCAGGAAAGACAGGGTAAACAAGACCTGGATTTAATGTAAAAAGTATGCTGAGAAAATAAAGCATTTAAGCTTTCATTACACACCATAAAGGTGTGTATGTGTTTTGCGAGAGGATATTCTGCATATCTTTGCAGGTCACCTTTTAAAGTGATCTTACTGAGGGCTTTTAGATTCAGACCTAAACCACACAACAAGTTTTGGCCTGATCTTGGCATCTGAACTGTAATATTATGCAGCTGAGACACAGAAGTTGCCAATTTTGCATAATTAACATGCTGGGTGGGGAATTCAGTCACTCACTCAGATCTGATCTTTACGTACTATCCCAGTTTCATTTTTGGCTTTTGTAATATCCCATTAACAGTCTATTGCACTTAAACAGATTTCTGTAAGGTGCTTAGATTTCCAAATTCAAAAGTAACCATTTTCAGCACCCCCATTTTTCTTTCAACCCATTCTTGGCATCATCTAAACTTAATTGCAATTTTGGTTTTAAAAACGGAGTCAGATCCTTCAACTCAATAATTACTCAAATTAGTCCTATTTGATTTCAGTGCAACTACTCACGTGAGTAAGGGTTATAGATATGATATTAAGAATAATATTTAAACAAGTTTCCTGATGCTAAAGAATTTCAGTTGTTGATTCGATCAGTCTTTCTGTTTTGCAATGGTTTCCTTGAAATACTACCTGAGGATGTTATTACTTGAAGTTCTAAGCATTTGAGGCACTGAAATGTATGGTATTCCCTCTTCCATCCAAGTTCTTGTAAATAATCAGTGCTTGTTTCTACAGGACAATATTAGGTAGAACCACCATCATGTGATTATGCTGATTTCCTTACTAAACAAGAATTGTTCCAGACTGTGGTTCTGAATGTATTGGACACAAGTTGTGACAGCAGCATGTCCTGTAAGAACTTATGGTCTGATCATGTTCCCATTAAGTCGTGTCCAAGCTCCCATTAACTTCCCATGCTGTAAGATCAGACACTTTAAAGTAATTTATAAACCGAGATTCCACAAAGAACTCATGTACTGTTTTTATCTACATATCCTTCACACTTCAGCCTTCTCTTTCAAGGAGCAGAATGGTTCACATTTAGACTGTGAAAGTTCTGCCGCTTGTGTACCTCTGCATTATCCCCATGGCAATGGACTTGAGTTAGATTGTATGGTTTCATCACTGTCTGTTACTGAACAGGGTGTATTTGTTTCTATGTCAGGCTTATCTAGGTGACACAAGTAAATCAAAACTGCACCCCTTGGCATGTCAGAACAGGTTCAACACATCTTTTAAAATAGTTTTCAATAGAATTGCAGTAGAGAAACTGAAATAAATGCAGACAGGAATACCCTGTGTATCTGCTTTCCTAATAAAACGAATATGGCAACTAGAAACCTTATGATTAAAGGAATACTGCATCTTTAAAAAACCTAAAAAGTTTGAGGATATGCATTTTTAGAACCTATTATTTCAGAGCTTTACACCTGTACAGTATAAATGTAGAAGGAGAGAGGCTGGTTATCATTACAAAGTGTCCTCCAGCCTTGTTTTTTTCATATGTTTTTTTTATTTTTAAATGCTGCTTGTCTTTTGAGAACACAAGTTTCCAGTGGCCAATATCTGGGACTAGTGGAAGGTGTTATGGATTTAATCTTTTTCAGCAAGATTTAGGAGTGAATAAAGATGTACTTAACTATGTCAATTCAAATGTAACGTAGAATGCCACTTACTGAATCAGTTGATTCAGCTCATTAATATGAATGTCTGACACTAATCCATGCTGTGTGCTGCCGGTGACTCTGGAGCTAGAAGTCCAGTGGCACGTCCTGTGAGCTGGATGGGTTGCTACTCCAACCAGGTTACTATTGCTTTTTAAGTCCATTGTGGTTGCAGTTGTGGCAATTCTCCTGTGCTTTCTAGAATTCTGATAGCCTAAAGATCCCTACATTGACTCTTAGGCTGGGATTCAGCATTTGCAGGGGCTGGTCTCCAGGTAGTGTCATGATGAAAGGATTGTGGGTTCAAACCTGAAAAACCACAAGAGTCATGGGAGTAGACACACTTTAAAAAATCAATGGGATTACTTGTGTGAGTAAGGATTTGCAGGTTTGAGCCGTGTGCTTGCATGTCTAAAGTCCCGATTAAAGCTAGCGAAGAGATTAGCAGTGGTGCTGGCTTCATTGCAAAGTGTCTCATTGCACCATCAGAACTAGGTCAAGGGAAAAAGTGGAAGATAGATAAAACCAAGGAAAAATGAGGAAATGGGCCAGGTAGGTGGATTACCTGCTGCAGTATTGACTGCTTATAATTATTCTTCTGCTAAGTCTATACTTGCCCCATCAGTTGACAGAGACAATCTCTTACCTTTTGTTATGTGTGACTCTTGAAAGCTAGCTAGCTATTTATTTAAATAAATGTATATGTAACTTATAATTTTGTCATCACAAAGCTTTGATATTTTTAATAGAAATGTTCTATATAGAAGTTTGTTCTCAGGGCTTCATATTTATACTATCTTTACAGGGCGATGCATTTAAAGGGGTGTATTTGGGATGGGGGGTGGGAAGCCAGTTGCCACTTTGCAACTTAAACGTTGGTTAGTCTTGACCTGTGAGACCGATTAGCAAGAGACTCCTCTGAGCCACCATAATGGGCAAGTCCAAAGAATCCACCATTGTTTCTTCTTCAGTCTCTTGAGGGTGGTGGAAATGGTCACACAAGAATGCACAGCCGCTTTGCACATCGTTGCCCTTTATACAGTTCCGAGGACACTTCTGCTTTGTGTGTATCGATGGAAGTGGAAAGCCGATTCACGCAGATGTCAATACACCTGCACTCTGCTAGGAGTGCAGGAACACATGGCTGCAAGAGTTCTGAAGTTTCCAGACAATCGCCCCACATTTGGCCACTTGCAGCCTGTCACAGTTGTTCCCCAGGACCTTTGACCCCATTTTACCTGGAGCCAAACTTGACTTCTCGGGGTGGCTCTTGGTATCTGAGAAATTGGTTGTTTATTCAAATGCTTTTTAGTTGGAGCAAGTTGCGGTCTTCTAGCATCATGATCCATGAGGTGAGAATGATGATTGTATTCTATCACTGTGTCAGCAGATCTTGCCTTTTGAGCGGGCACATAAATTGTTCCCAGTAATCTGAGGTTCAGAAGTAGGATGTACAGGATAGTGAGAGTGTTAGCCAAAAATACCTCATTTTTCTGCTAAATAGAGTGGCATTTTTTTATCAGTTAATATTTACTCCTAGGACTTTATAACGAGCTGATGGAATAACTGCATCCACAGCTGGACATTTACATCCACAGGTATGTCGGATAAGATCATTTAAAAGGGATATAAATCCTCATGCTTCGGGGCGTAACCCAACCACTAACTGCATCTTCATTGATGGGCAGATTATTCCTCTGAAGCATTTGGTGCTGGCCATTGTTAGACTAGCTCAGCCACTAGTCTGAGCCAGGATGGCAGATCCTATGGAAGAAAAGCAAGCAGTGCATAAGTTTACATGTACATGGTTTAAAAAGTCATGTTCACTTGTATCCCAACCTTTTGTCCTAACAGAAGGCATGTGTTTAACATGTGGTGTACCTTTTGCTCTAGGCTGAAAGAACTTACATGCAGATCCCTGTTTGAAGCATACAAACTTTAATAAATGTAAAAGCATTACATTCTTATTGAATTTGGTTAGTTTTTTTATATATATATCATGTTCTGGACAGGGGGAAATTGTGCTAACATTTTAAACTTAAAAACCTACCAAATGAAATGTGTGTTGTCTTGTTGCAGCAGGTAAGAAAGGCGTGTAGACCTTTTTTTTAATTTGCAAGTTTATTTTTATTATAGTTTAATGAACTGTACAAGAATGTGATTTGCCATACAGCACTGACCACAAAGTAGCACTAGTGAAGTTATACTGTAAGGTACTATGACTTAACACTTTTCATTTCATCTGTGTATAGAATGGGTACAGTACATAGTTTTTATATGGAATTGACACTGATGTGTGGCATGCACAGTTGTTTTTAAGATGTAATGTTACTTTTATGAAGTTTAACTTGGGTCAATATCAACAAACCTATAGAATTCAGGGTTCATTCTAAAACTTACTAGCATGGGTCAGTAATCTGCTACACAGCTGCAGAAAGATTCAGCAACAACTAGTGCTAATACTAAACATTTGTCACCCATTTTTGCTTTAATACGATCGTCTGACCAAAAGAAAATCAATTCTGCATTGTTACTAATCTGATCCCTTTCAAACAATCAGGCTGTTATCTGCGGAAATGTATTTTGAGAGGCTATCACGAGTGTTCGTTTGATGTGGCTTTGCTGGTAACTATTACCCACGTTAGTATGGCTAAGTTGGACCCATGAACGCGATTAGAATGAACGCTGAGTCTTTAAACCTACACACGCGCACTCTTGAGAATGATCTGGTAATGTGTGTTGTACATTTATAACATCTTCAAATAAAGTTTTTTGATTTATTACGAGCTGTTTCTAAACCTTTTGAAAAGTATCATTGGGCTGACAAATCCAGGTTACTAACCAGTCTGTATCGGAAGAATTCTAGAACTGTGTGCCTACTGGTAAGCGGTTCATTAACAGACTATCTTTTACTGACCAGTTCTGCTGGTAAGCAAACCTGGAACAAAGAGTGAGCAGCACTGTCTGATTCCAATAACCATTTCTGCATGTGAGAAATATTCCTCCTCCTCCTTCTCCTTCCTATCAACTTGGCTCCTTCAGGGTAAAATTCACCTAAAGGCTTAAATGGAGCATAGACCTTGTGCTGGCCTTCTGCGTAGTGGTGAATGTTTGCTTACCAGGGATTATCCTGAATCTCAATTCATAGAATCAT